GGGTACTATTTTTCACTGCTCATTTAGGAGTAGGAAAGATATAGTTCATTTTGTACAGAACTAATTACACCTGTAACGAACGATTAACGTGGAAACGAAAAGAAATGCTTACCACACGATTTCCTCCATAAATATTATTCCCAATGTGCCTGAAAATAGGACTGTCGATAAAAACAAAGTCTACACCATCAATGTAAGCGTGGAAGTAATTAACCTCCATATCCTGCAAAATATCATATTATGACACATTCAACAACACGGTAATAAAAAACAGGAATTTTAAATGATATATGTAAAATTACCGCTCACCTGACCATCTACTTTATATCTCCTCCGAACACCCGAATCTTTACCTTCAGCACAATTATTATAGCGAGGTACAACAACCTACCAGTAAAAAGAAATGATAATTCAATTTTAGCATATCTATACTGTATTGTTAACCGAAATTAACCTAATCTGCAAGTTCCTCAAATTTTAGCTAAACTTTCTTAATCATACTATTCAGAAGATGGAATTTTCAGAGGTAAAAAAAAAAAAAAAATCACCATGACTCTGTGTCCACGCCTAGCCAAAGCCTTAGGTAAAGCCCCAGCAACATCACCAAGCCCACCTAAAGAACAAATTTCACAAATCAGTATTAAGTCCCATAGTCCCAAAAACAAGGCATGCTCATACATACGAGAAAAAAACGTGATTTTGTGAAAAAATTGGCTCATTAATTAACATCACAATCAACTGCCGATAGGAGACAAACAAGCCCGAATAAATATCTTTAACTAAACATCATCAGGCATGCTGAATAACCATAGCATTCAAACCTTAAAATCCTTAAAATATTTAACAATAACCCGGTAAAGAAAATTACCCGTTTTAAACCAAGGAGCACACTCAGCAGCAACCAATATAACGTTCATCACATTGGCCCCAGCTAGTGGAGGGGGTTTTACTTTTAAATCTTCATTTTTGGGATGTTGAATTTTACCATTTACTCCCTCTGGACTCGATTTCTTAACATCTTCAAGTACCTCGTCCTTTTTGCTCAATAGTATATCAGGTAATGTGGCTGTCTTTACATTAGCATCCTTCCCCTTTTTGTCTGGATATGCTTCTGCAGTTCTCTTGAAGTCTTTGAGCATATCAATTTTCGAAGAATGTACAGAATCTTTAGGCTTAATATCACGAGGAACCTCTTTTCCGAGTTCTTTTGGATCTGCAAAGTCGCGTTTTAGTAGTGATTCTATTCGATATTCTTGTTCAAGCAGCGAAAACAAAATATATCTTCTGAGCTCATGATCTTCTACCGATTTCATTACCTTCGCCAGGAACAGCACTGGTGTTATCCCTAATCGACTGTTGTGAATCAATTATGGTGTTATTAATCGACGACACTAGTTTCTTCCTTTCAGCAATCTGTGACAGAAAAATCAACTTTTTTTCAAAAAGACTCCACAAAGAAAATGCATACAAGTTCAAATTGACATTAAAAGATGCCTAATAAGCTTGAATAAAGCAGAAAATTTACTAACTTTACAAATGCTACACTTTTTTCAGATATAAACATTAGACAAAAAAAGAAAAGCGGAAAAAGATGAACCAAACAGTAAAACACAATAGCAGCGAGACCTGTTGCAAAAGGTCCTTTTGTATTGCAAGAACCTTTTTGCTTTTCTCGATCGTGGCCTGTAAAGCGTCCTCCTTCGATTCATCCTCCTCGGCATCGCTCCCTCCACCGCCCTCCGCAGCGGCTTTTACGAAGTGGGTCGTCCGCGGCCGCCGCCGGCCGCACCGAGATAACCTAACTGTAGAATCTACGGCCAAATTCCTAGAAACCCCAGCTAAATTACAATCTGCAACAAAACCCCTAACCTCCGCGCACTTTTTTCTCGGCCCGTAAGCAAGTAATGGAATCACGCGCAGGTGATGATGACCCGCGCCGTGAAGAAATGAGGAAGTGTCGACCCCAGAAGGAAAAGATCCCATTGATGCCATCTTAAAGCTCGGATATTCAACTCAGAGAGAAAAAAAGAGGGATTTTTTTCATTATTTTTTCAAGAATTCAGCAAAAACAAGCGAACCCAAAAAGGGCAGCTGAGAAAATCGGAAAAAAATGATGAAAACTCGATCAAAGTGTTTGCAAAGGTAGGGTCTTTTTAGTCTGTGGATGGATTTGTGATTGAGAATTTAGGGGGAAAACCATGGACAACAGCATGCGAAGGGTGAACTGCAGTGAAAAAGTCTTGTGAGTCGATTGCGAGCTCGAAGGAGGGACCCACTTGAGCGAAAACTCTGATGAAAGGTTGCATAAATTATTCTGAGGTTGAGATTGACCAAGCTTCAGTTCTGGTTAATATTATTTCGTGCACTGTATATAAATATATTTATCTATATATTTTTTATGTGTAGTTGAATCTCCTGTGTGAGTGGATACAGATTCCATTTGTGATTGTTTTTTTATTTCTTTTTTTTTTAAAAAAAAAAATTATAGTTAATTTTTTTTTATTGGTATTATATTTCATTTTGAAAAAGTAATTGAGTTAGATTTTGAGTTTTTATTCAAATAATATTAAAAATAAAATGATTAAAGTTGATTTGATGTAAAAGTATAAGAAAATAATTGAAAGTGACAAGTACGTAGTTAAAATTATATGAAGAGATTAATAGAAATAAAGTTGACGTGATCTTAAGAATAATTGTAGTATTATATGATTATATTGATAATATTAAGTATAATCAGATTGTGTTAAAATTAAGTTAAAATTGAGAGTTGATTAGTTTTTTTTTTTTTTAGATTGAGTTGATATCCAATCACACCCTCGAGTTAAGTATTAACCAAATGTGTCTGAACGATTGTTTATAATAACGAAATGAGTTTGAGCCTTGACAAACAGAACACAAAAATCTAAACGAGTTGAGCCAGAGAAAATTACGTAAAAATTCATATTTTCGAGCCTACTAAGTTTTAAACGAGCTTGAGCTCGGTATGTTTATTACATGAGTTGAAGCGGAGAACAACTTGTACTACTCAAAAGGTCTAAATACATGTTAACTGCCCAAATTAAGTATATTTGTATGTAAAATAAATATATAATAATTACACTTAGAGCTTGTTATATTATTGTGTTGTTGACAAGCTTTGCTATGAGAATTGGTGAATTTTTTAGTTTTAATAACATGAACGATATAAAAGATGAAATTGGAAGGATCTCAAATTTGAGTTTTGTGGTAGTGTGTAATTGGAATAATCACACATGTGAAATGTGCTCTATTGTTTACCATATAACTTGCATTTGGCTTTACATTTTTGGCCCACACCCATGTAGTGCTGTACATAAACTAAGAAGAGACAAAGATATCTCTAAAATATAATTTCATTATTATTATTATTATTATTTAAAAGTGACATTAAATTTTAAAATTATACATTTATTTAAAAAGTATTGATGTATAATCATTTTGTTACCTAATAATAACTAGTATAACACCCGTGTTTACACATGTGCTTGCTAATTTTTTTCTTAAAGTCTAAAATTAATGAGAAAAATTAGTTGAAAATTTAAATACCTTTCACACAAATATATATATTATTATATAGTTAGTATAACACTTTTTATTTGTGCGACTTACCTGTGTTATATTATAATATTTTTTAATTTACAACATATAACTACATTAAAAATAAATATATCAATTGATAAATAATTTTATTTTTCTAATGAATTTTAATAAATATAATTATTTTTTATTATTATAAAGATAAATATAATTTATTTATTTCATATATACAATATGGATGTCAAATCGAAGTTCCTCAAAAGATGATTAATTTGATATATAATATATGTAAAAACCGATAAGAAATACAAAAGTTATCAACTTTTAAAATACATTTACAATTCAATAGCTAATTGAAGGAAACAAATCAAAGTCAGGGATATATTAGTCACTTATTGTCTCACTATGTAAAATTACAAATAATTAAAACGTTATATTAGTACAAGTGATATTATAATATCTAAGTTAGATAAATAATATTTTTATGTAATGTCCGAACCTAAATTGTTAATTATTAATACATCAATATTATTTGTCTAACCCTAATTACCAAGCATGATTCTTCGTCAAGTAGGATTCTGAAACACCAAAAGCAGCCACGTAGGTTCAGCACATTCGGAAATTATATATAGGAAGGATGTTAGGAACAAAAATTAAATCCACATAGAGAGTGGTTAGAATTAATTGGTAACTGCCATTATCCATTAAACAAAGTCACAATTAATTTTATGTGTGTTGTAGAATTGTAATTTTTTTAAAACGTGTGGAAGGGTTGAAAATTTCCCAAAAATATATGCCTCTCATGCAACTCAGAAGGCACTTTTTGGCGCCCGAACTCGAGAAAACGAGGCCCACATACTATGGCCCGATTCCCAGTCCCAACGGTCCTAGAAATCCACCGGCCCAAAACCTTCACCGGCAACTCAACCTCCATAACCGCCCTACTGAGCTCATGCTCTACACTGAGTCACCTTCTCCAAATCCACGCGCAGATAATAACATCGGGCCGCCATGGCAATTCCCACCTCACAGACAAAATCATTCACCTCTGCACCTCAAACTCTCTTCGGGCAAAACACCCGCTCCACCCTATAAACCACGGCTGCCACCTCGCTAGCCTCTCGGAAAATCAAGAACCCTTTTCATGGAACAACGTGATCCGGGCCCTCGCCACCTCCAAATTGGGGAGAGAGGCCCTCCGAGCCTTTCTCCGGATGCGGCGCCAGGGGATCGGGCCCAATGAGCACACCTTCCCTTTCATCTTCAAAGCCTGCTCTTCGTTTTCGGGACTCGACGAGGGCCGGCAGGTCCACGGCGACGTGGTCAAGCACGGCTTGCATCTCAACGTGTATGTGCAGAACACGCTGATTCATATGTACGGCTCGTGTAAAAAAATTGTGGACGCTTACAAGGTGTTTGAGGGAATGCCTCAGAGAACGGTGGTCTCGTGGAACTCGGTAATATCGGCCCTCGTCGAGTGCTCTTGGTTTGATGAATCTATAGAGCTTTTCGTTAAGATGAGGAGAAATGGGGTCGGGCCGGATGAGACCACGATGGTGATCGTCCTCTCTGCCTGTACTGAGCTCGGCAGCCTGAACCTCGGCAAGCGGGCCCACTCCCAGGTGATCGAATTGGGCTTGCTCGTCAACTGCCAGCTGGGCACTTCCCTGGTCGACATGTACGCGAAATGCGGGAACATAAACTATGCAGCCCGAATATTCAACGCCATGGCCCGCAAGAACGTGTGGACTTGGAGCTCGATGATTATCGGGTTCGCGCAGCACGGGCTAGCGGGCCCCGCCCTCCAACTCTTTCACGAGATGAAAAATCAGTCGATCAGGCCCAATCACGTAACTTTTCTTGGCGTTCTTTGTGCTTGCAGCCATGCCGGGCTCGTTCATGACGGGCGGCGATACTTTCACGAGATGGAAAAGGTTCACGGGCTCAAGCCCGGGATGTTGCAGTACGGGGCCATGGTGGATCTATTAGGCCGGGCCGGGCTTTTAGAGGAAGCCTATGATTTTATAATGGATATGCCCGTTGAGCCCGATGGGGCCGTGTGGAGGGCTTTGCTTAGCGCGTGTGGGATTCATGATCGTGTGGGGGGTTCGGCTTGGGTCGGGGAGAAGGTGAGGCGGAGGCTTGTGGAGCTCGAGCCGAAGAGAATTGGGAATTTGGTGATGATCGCAAATAACTATGCAGACGTGGGGTCGTGGGAAGAGGCCGAGAACTTGAGGCGGAAAATGAGGGATTGTGGGTTGAAAAAGGTGGGTGGGTGGAGCTGTTTGGAGATAGGGGGTCGTGTGGCTCGGTTTTTTTCGGGGGATTTTTCTAGTGTCACATGTTGTGTTGATGATATCTTGTCGTGTTTGAGCAGGTTGAGTCTGCACTCGAGGATTACGAGATTACAGTGAAAGATCGTGAAGCGCTCTTTTCCTTTTTTGCTTTGTTCGTATTTTATTTCATATCTATCTGCTAGGTTGAGTTTCTTTCTTGAATGAGTGAGTAGACTCCAATCGGTGTTGCTCGGGAGCTGTAAAATTTGCACGCAATGCAACGCGTGCGTAAGTTCCTTGCTAAAACCGGTCGGTAAATGAATATCACTGTCTTCTACAGTTCTACCACACAATTCTTGCCAAAAAACAAATTCAAGATTGGATTCTTCTTTACAATTACACTACTCTCTATCCTATATAACCAAATGGTTGTAAATCTCTCGCAGAGCTGTAAAGGTCCCAACAACAAGAACAACAATACCCATCAACAAAATGCCCCATATGCCAGCTGATTCAAGCCTAGGTCTTTGGTAGTCACCCATAATCTTCAAGAAGCACAAACATGGCAAAATAATCGAAGCCGTAACGCTCAAAAACGCTCCCACAAGCGACATAAGATCCTCGAAAAATGGGATTGCTACGGCTACAACAATCGTGCTGAATACCAATCCCGACCTAATCGATGTGCTTAATCCTTTACTCCGGCTTGCATTGAGGATACGGGTTTCAAGAGCATTTACTATTGGAGTCACCATTAACGTATATTTGGCTAATGGGTTGACAAGTGTCGTGTAGATAGCCACTCGTGAGCTGATTTTGTTCGTAGGAAGGTTCAACGTTATTTGAGATTGCACGTTCGAGCCGAACATCAGGTAACCCATTATCGCCATGGATGCATAACTCATTGTGCACACGAGAAAACACACGAGCAAGACCTGCATTTAGAGTCGAATAAGATATATTATATATACATATAATGGCGAAATTGCCCCTAATATCGTGTCTTTTTTTGAAATTGCAATTGAATCACAAACTTTTCAATTTTGCAAATCGGTGCAGGGGTTATGAAAAACAACCATATAAAAAGCTGATGTGGTTGAAGACCAACTGTGATATAATTTGCACGGGTTCTGCAAATCGGTGCACCAATTTGCAAATTATGATATAATTTGTAAAAGTGAAAGATCGTAATTAAGTTGCAATAAAAAATTACCTCGGAGAACTTCTTTTGGTTCTTCATTGAAGTGTAAAGCGTCGGGAAAACGGGATGCGCGCAATAACAAAAGGCGTACAAGCTAACAGCAGTTGGGATCCCTCTAGCATTGATAACCGAGCCACGCTCGTGAAATCCAATATCGTCAGATGTGCCGACCCACAAAATCGATCCCACGAGCACAAAAGAGGCCACGACCCCAGTGGCTGAGATGTATGAAAGGATGTTCATATTGTCCAACCAAACGGCAGGCATCAAGATGAGGCCCACGATGAGGATGAAAGTTTGCTTCCCACCAATCGAAAGCCCACCAAACTCGAAGCCCACTTGAGGGAATAAGTTGTGCAAGTTGTCTCCTTCGAGAATCAAGAAGCCCGTTGCCACTAAGTACAGCTCGAGGTTCATGGCAACCGAGACGAATGTCCTTCCCTTTGGGCCGAAGGCCCGTTCTCCAATGTCCGGGTAGCTTCGTATGGCCGGGTCCACATCCATGCACCGTTTGATCAGCACGCCCGTGTAGAAAGTGCAGCTCGCGATTAGGAAGAAGAAGATGAGGCTCGACCAACCGGCTGACGACACGGCGTACGGCATGGAGAGTATGCCAACACCTATTTTGAGCCCAAAACACAATATTTTTCAATAATTAGCGTGATTTATGCATGTATCAATTAGCCTAATTTTGTTTTACTTCTTTAGTTATTGACATGATAAGCACAATCCTATTTATTCTGATTGCTATAATCTCGTGTTTGGTGGGAAAATGTAAAAAACCACAAATCCGTAGATTTGCCATAGGTTTTTCACCGTTACATTAACACACTTATGTCTCGGTATTAGCATTGTTAAATTAAACGAGCCTGGCTGAGCTCGGCTCGTTAAGGCACGAGTTCAGCTCGAGTTCGAGGCATAACGAGCTGAACACGAGCTCATTTAAAATTTGTTTGGTTAACCAGCCGAGCTCAATTCGGCTCGAAAAGAGAGTTTTTATACAATTTTTTTATAATTCGACTTGTTAAAGCTCGAGATCAGTTCGACTTCAAGGCCTTAACGCGTCGAGCTCGATTTCTGACTTG